ACCCATAGCAACCCTGTATAGGATTTCCAAGGATCAGCTAGTGAGCTTGAACCATCAACCTTGAGGTTCAAACTGACTCTTCAGTCCAGCTCATTAACCTACAGTGCCACACCAGGACTATATATATATATGTTGAGAGAGCGGAAGTTTGGCTTACAATTACAGAGTCCCAGGTTCCCATTAGAAGAGACAGATGACAGTGTCCCTCTCTCTTGTCCTTTATTTTGGGAGCAGGCCACACCCCCAAGGAAACACCCTTTCAGTTGATTGGCTGCTCATAGCCAATCCTCATAGAGTTAATTATGCTATTTAGATTCTACCATGGGAATAAGCACATCCCAACTGCTAACCCTCTGGGGACCCTACTCAAGTTGACACAGACCCCTAACCATTACATTATGCCAACTGATCATGGTGTCCTGAGCCCCCAGACCCAGCAAATTATTCCCTCAAGGTATTTGGTTATATCTTAAGTTGTCATAACTTTCCCTCTGTATAATAGTTTCCTTTTCTGAGTTACAATTTACATATAAAAAAATGCACACATTTTCAGATTATCGTTTGATGCATTTGACAAATTTTTACGCCCATGTAACTTAATATCCCAATCAAGAAGATTTCCATCATTCCAGAAAGTTCCCTAGTGCTCTTTCTGGTGAATTCTACCCTTCCAAAAGTTCGTGAACATATTATCAAGAGGGACCAGTCCCTGGAGAAGGAAGGACATCATGCTTGGCAGAGAATCGGCAAAAAAAAAGACCGTCAAGAAACTGGATAGACACAGTGATTGACTAACAGCTCAGATTTAGGAGGGTGTGAGGATGATGCAAGACTGAGCAGCGTTCTGCTCTGTTGTTTGTAGGGTCGCTATGAGTCAGAACCGACTGGACCACACCCAACAACAACAGAATCAAGTGCTTCACCAGAGATTCACTTGGCTTGTTGAACAACTTTACATAAACGGAATCATGTGGTGCTTGACGTCTGCATACCCCATGCCCCGGACATAGTGATTTGGGGATTTGTCCGTCTTGTGTGTATCACATTCATCCCTTCGTTTTGAGCAATTCATTGATTGACTGGGGCAGCGGGGTTTAAGTGTACAATTCTTGCCTTCCAATAGGAAGACCCAGGTTCAATCCCTGGCCAGTAATTCTCATGTTCAACCTCCACCTGTCCATCCCTGGAGGCTTGTGTGTTGTTATGGTGCTGAACAGGTTTCGGTGAAACTTCCAGACTAAGACTAGGAAGAAAAGGCTGGTGATCTGTTTCCAAAAATCAGCTAGTGAAAAACTTTGTATCTCAGTCACGGGGATGATGCCCCAGGACCAGGCAGCGGGATCCCGTCTGTAGCAGGCAGGGGCTCCGTGTATCGGGGGCTGACTCATCAGGAGCCAACAACATGGACAACTGCATTCCACTGAGTGGGTAATCCACTGTCCACTCACCAGCTGATGGACGTTTTTGTGATGGACTCTCATCGACGAGGCTCTTTTGTGTGCCAATCTGTTGTTTTCGTTTTTTTTCTTAAGTCAATCTTTCAGAGTTTCAGTGCTGGGTCTCTGGCAAAGA